AAAATCCGAACTGTTTGCCCACTGGCAGCGCTAGCCATGGAAATAGTAAAATAAATGAAAAATGTAATAATTAAAAATCATAGGGAGGTCAATAAGACATCCATATTTCTATAACAGATGTTGAAAACTTCCATATGCCCCAACCTGTCACCTGGCAGGTGGGAAATGCAGACTAACCATTAAAACCTAGTGACTCACTAAAAGAGGACCATGAGATGGGGCCTGTAAAATAATGATGGTGGGGGACATAGTCTCCCCATGCCTCCACCCGTGGACATCGGAAGGGGGCTACTTTAAATATTAATGGGGGAGGTCCTAGTGTATCCCCTGGGCACCCTCCCATAAGTAATAGGTGGGGGCCCTAATATTTATAATACACAGTGGGGACCTATTGTCCTCTCTCCTGGTCCCCACCCATTGGTTGCAGGTGGTTGCCCTAATTAATTATACAGGGAGTGCAGAATTATTAGGCAAATGAGTATTTTGACCACATCATCCTCTTTATGCATGTTGTCTTACTCCAAGCTGTATAGGCCCGAAAGCCTACTACCAATTAAGCATATTAGGTGATGTGCATCTCTGTAATGAGAAGGGGTGTGGTCTAATGACATCAACACCCCATATCAGGTGTGCATAATTATTAGGCAACTTCCTTTCCTTTGGCAAAATGGGTCAAAAGAAGGACTTGACAGGCTCAGAAAAGTCAAAAATAGTGAGATATCTTGCAGAGGGATGCAGCACTCTTAAATTGCAAAGCTTCTGAAGCGTGATCATCGAACAATCAAGCGTTTCATTCAAAATAGTCAACAGGGTCGCAAGAAGCTTGTGGAAAAACCAAGGCGCAAAATAACTGCCCATGAACTGAGAAAAGTCAAGCGTGCAGCTGCCACGATGCCACTTGCCACCAGTTTGGCCATATTTCAGAGCTGCAACATCACTGAGTGCCCAAAAGCACAAGGTGTGCAATACTCAGAGACATGGCCAAGGTAAGAAAGGTTGAAAGACGACCACCACTGAACAAGACACACAAGCTGAAACGTCAAGACTGGGCCAAGAAATATCTCAAGACTGATTTTTCTAAGGTTTTATGGACTGATGAAATGAGAGTGAGTCTTGATGGGCCAGATGGATGGGCCCGTGGCTGGATTGGTAAAGGGCAGAGAGCTCCAGTCCGACTCAGACACCAGCAAGGTGGAGGTGGAGCACTGGTTTGGGCTGGTATCATCAAAGATGAGCTTGTGGGGCCTTTTCGGGTTGAGGATGGAGTCAAGCTCAACTCCCAGTCCTACTGCCAGTTCCTGGAAGACACCTTCTTCAAGCAGTGGTACAGGAAGAAGTCTGCATCCTTCAAGAAAACATGATTTTCATGCAGGACAATGCTCCATCACACGCGTCCAAGTACTCCACAGCGTGGCTGGCAAGAAAGGGTATAAAAGAAGAAAATCTAATGACATGGCCTCCTTGTTCACCTGATCTGAACCCCATTGAGAACCTGTGGTCCATTATCAAATGTGAGATTTACAAGGAGGGAAAACAGTACACCTCTCTGAACAGTGTCTGGGAGGTTGTGGTTGCTGCTGCACGCAATGTTGATGGTGAACAGATCAAAACACTGACAGAATCCATGGATGGCAGGCTTTTGAGTGTCCTTGCAAAGAAAGGTGTCTATATTGGTCACTGATTTGTTTTTGTTTTGTTTTTGAATGTCAGAAATTTATATTTGTGAATGTTGAGATGTTACATTGGTTTCACTGGTAATAATAAATAATTGAAATGGGTATATATTTGTTTTTTGTTAAGTTGCCTAATAATTATGCACAGTGATAGTCACCTGCACACACAGATATCCCCCTAACATAACTAAAAACAAACTAAAAACTACTTCCAAAATATTCAGCTTTGATATTAATGAGTTTTTTGGGTTCATTGAGAACATGGTTGTTGTTCAATAATAAAATTAATCCTCAAAAATACAACTTGCCTAATAATTCTGCACTCCCTGTAAAATAGGGAGGGTGGATATGTCCTGCTATCAGAACTTGAGTGGTGACCCCTCCGTAGGTGAATAAAAAGAATGACTGTGAGTGAAACAGGGCAATAAACAGACACATACACACAGGGCGTAACATGAAGTTAGGTTCTGTGCCTACACTGTTTATCAGGATACAATGTTACAGGGAGTTAGTGTCCGTATCTACAATGTATTCCGGCGATGCACATTGGGTTCTAGATGGTTCTAGTTCCACTATAGTGTGACACTCACTATTGTTCTGATGGCTTCTTCCACATCAGACTTTTGGTTTTGAAGTTCTTCCTGTGATTCATTCAGCTTTTCTGTTTCAAAATCCATCACCTGGAGGACTCCACCACCAAGGTGTTTCTGAGATATGGGATACAGTAAAAATAGGAATTAGGAGAATACTTTTATACTGAGCCGGCCCTTCTATTAGGCCAATTAGGCAGTTGCCAAGGGAGCTCTGTTAGAGGGGGCACCCTTCTATTAGGCCAATTAGGCAGTTGCCAAGGGAGCTCTGTTAGAGGGGGCGCCCTTCTATTAGGCCAATTAGGCAGTTGCTTAGGAAGCTCTGTGAGAGGGGGTGCCCGCAGAGGCCTCTAAAGAGGTGGGTAGCTAAGGGCAGAGCTTCCATGTGCTGCTCCCCCTGTCCTGCCCCTGGACTGCTTATGGGAGGGACCCTGTTACAGACTGCAAGCGTTGAAGGAGAAAGCAGGTACCACACTGAATTAGCTGATTCCAGTGCCCCCAGCCCCCACCTGAGTATGTAAGGGAGGGAAGCTTGCTGTATGTCTGTAGTAGGTAGTGTGTGTATTAGAGAGTATGTGTGTGTGTGTGTCAGACTCTGTGTGTGTGTGTATTAGGTAGTGTGTGTCTATTAGACTCTGTGTGTGTGTGTGTGTGTGTATTAGGTAGTGTGTGTCTATTAGACTCTGTGTGTGTGTGTGTATGTATTAGGTAGTGTGTGTCTATGAGACAGTGTGTGTATTAGGTAGTGGGTGTATGTCTATTAGACAGTGTGTGTGTGTATTAGGTAGTGTGTGTCTATTAGACAGTGTGTGTATTAGACAGTGTGTGTCTATTAGACAGTGTGCGTATTAGACAGTGTGTGTGTCTATTAGACAGTGTGTGTGTGCATTGGGTAGTGTGTGTCTATTAGACAGTGTGTGTATGTGCATGTATTTGGTAGTGTGTGTCTATTAGACAGTGTGTGTATTAGGTAGTGTGTGTCTATTAGACAGTGTGTGTGTATGTGCATGTATTAGGTAGTGTGTGTCTATTAGACTGTGTGTGTTTTAGGTAGTGTGTGTCTATTAGATAGTGTGTGTGTGTATTAGGTAGTGTGTGTCTATTAAATAGTGTGTGTGTATTAGGTAGTGTGTGTCTATTAGACAGTGTGTGTGTTAGGTAGTGTGTGTCTATTAGACTGTGTGTGTGTCTATTAGACTGTGTGTGTGTGTATTAGGTAGTGTGTGTCTATTAGACAGTGTGTGTGTATGTGCATGTATTAGGTAGTGTGTGTCTATTAGACAGTGTGTGTGTGTATTAGGTAGTGTGCCTCTATTAGACAGTGTGTGTGTGTGTATTAGGTAGTGTGTGTCTATTAGACAGTGTGTGTATTAGGTAGTGTGTGTCTATTAGACAGTGTGTGTATTAGGTAGTGTGTGTCTATTAGACAGTTTGTGTGTATATTAGGTAGTGTGTGTCTATTAGTAGACAGTGTGTGTGTGTATTAGGTAGTGTGTGTGTCTATTAGACAGTGTGTGTGTGCATTAGGTAGTGTGTGTCTATTAGACAGTGTGTGTGTGTGTGTATTAGGTAGTGTGTGTCTATTAGACTCTGTGTGTGTGTGTATTAGGTAGTGTGTCTCTATTAGACAGTGTGTGTGTGTATTAGGTAGTGTGTGTCTATTAGACAGTGTGTGTGTGTATTAGGTAGTGTGTGTCTATTAGACAGTGTGTGTGTGTATTAGGTAGTGTGTGTCTATTAGACAGTGTGTGTGTGTGTATTAGGTAGTGTGTTTATTAGACAGTGTGTGTGTGTGTATTAGGTAGTGTGTTTATTAGACAGTGTGTGTGTGTGTGTGTATTAGGTAGTGTGTGTCTATTAGACAGTGTGTGTGTGTATTAGGTAGTGTGTGTCTATTAGACAGTGTGTGTGTGTATTAGGTAGTGTGTGTCTATTAGACAGTGTGTGTGTGTATTAGGTAGTGTGTGTCTATTAGACAGTGTGTGTGTATTAGGTATTAGTGTGTGTCTATTAGACATGTGTGTGTGAAGGTAGTGTGTATGTATTAGGCAGTGTGTGAGTGGATGTGGAATTTATATATTCTGTCACCCGGCACATGCAATTCTGGGCGCCAAGCAGGAAGTTTTTTTTTTTTTATTATTCTTTTAGGGCTGCCTTGGGAGGAGTTGGTGCCAGGCAGGGAATGTATCTCTGACAGGCGTGCCAGGACACCTTAACTGTACCTAGCCGCAGCTCACAGGGACATGTCATATCCTGGCGGCTTGTAATCTGTGATGTGAGTGTCAGAGAATGTGTAGTTTGTGTATGGGTCAGTGTGTGTCTGTGTGCAGTGTGTTTGTGTATGGGTCAGTGTGTGTCAGTGTGCAGTGTGTTTGTGTATGGGTCATTGTGTGTGTATCAGTATGCAGTGTGTTTGTGTATGGGTCAGTGTGTGTCTGTGTGCAGTGTGTTTGTGTATGGGTCAGTGTGTGTCTGTGTGCAGTGTGTTTGTGTATGGGTCATTGTGTGTGTATCAGTGTGCAGTGTGTTTGTGTATGGGTCAGTGTGTGTCTGTGTGCAGTGTGTTTGTGTATGGGTCATTGTGTGTGTATCAGTGTGCAGTGTGTTTGTGTATGGGTCATTGTGTGTGTATCAGTGTGCAATGTGTTTCTGTATGGGTCATTGTGTGTGTATCAGTGTGCAGTGTGTTTGTGTATGGGTCAGTGTGTGTGTATCAGTGTGCAATGTGTTTATGTATGGATCATTGTGTGTGTATCAATGTGCAGTGTATTTGTGCATGGGTCAGTGTGTGTGGGTGGCAGTGTTCGTTTATGGCTCAGTGTGTGTCTGTGTGCAGTGTGTTTCCTCAGTCTTTGTCTTCTCACTAAAAAAAAGATTAAGCAGGCATATACTTGAGGGTTCATTCACTAAACAGTGATTTGATAAGTCTTCGGTCAAAATCGCAAAGTTGGAAAAAGTCGATGAGAGTGAGTGTATATATACTATTCTATTAAAAAAAAAAAACAATAATTGATACTGCACTCAAAATAAAGCAAAAAGATGATATTTAATCAAAGATAGTGAATCAATTTCATATATATATCAGATATGTACAAAAAATGTGAAAAAAAGGATACTGTAAATGACAAGTATCCTATGGCAACCAGTGTAATATCATGTAAAATACACGGTATCCTTACAAGAGTTAAATTCATATGAGTATAATAAAAGTTAAATTCATATGAGTATAATACACTTTGAAGTAGTATGAGAAATTCTCAATCTGGATTATTGACCAGTGTGGACAAAAAAAGTATATACAGTATATACAATATATACAATAATGGAAAAAAGTAATAGAAAAAATAGAAAAAATGAACAAATTCCTTAAAAAATCAAAAATGGAAAAAAGAGAAAAAAAAGAAAAAAGGAAAAAAAGGGAAAAAAGAGAAAAAACTAAATAAAAAAATAAAAAATAAAAAAATGAAAAAAGTTGTATATACAGTCACCAGTGTGTACACACTATTGTATATGGGTGGATCTCACCAATATGCTTTGCTGAGAAAGGAAAAGTCCAGTTCTAGATGAAGTTATCTGAGTTGCAAATTATAGACTGTTCCTCCTATTCCTCTCCTGTTGGTTGAAGGTGATGGATATAGCAGGTACTTGGCAGATCCTTGGATAGTCCGGGTCAAATATGTCCAGAGCGTGGACTTCTTGTAGACTCTTGTACAGGATAAACAGGCTGCGCGCTCGGGACCCTTCAGCCCCTTCAAAGGCCCTGTGTAGGCCTTTGAAGGGGCTGAAGGGGCTGAAGGGTCCCGAGCGCGCAGCCCGTTTATCCTGTACAAGAGTCTACAAGAAGTCCACGCTCTGGACATATTTGACCCGGACTATCCAAGGATCTGCCAAGTACCTGCTATATCCATCACCTTCAACCAACAGGAGAGGAATAGGAGGAACAGTCTACAATTTGCAACTCAGATAACTTCATCTAGAACTGGACTTTTCCTTTCTCAGCAAAGCATATTGGTGAGATCCACCCATATACAATAGTGTGTACACACTGGTGACTGTATATACAACTTTTTTCATTTTTTTATTTTTTATTTTTTTATTTAGTTTTTTCTCTTTTTTCCCTTTTTTTTCCTTTTTTTTCTCTTTTTTCCATTTTTGATTTTTTAAGGAATTTGTTCATTTTTTCAATTTTTTCTATTACTTTTTTCCATTATTGTATATATTGTATATACTGTATATACTTTTTTTGTCCACACTGGTCAATAATCCAGATTGAGAATTTCTCATACTACTTCAAAGTGTATTATACTCATATGAATTTAACTTTTATTATACTCATATGAATTTAACTCTTGTAAGGATACCGTGTATTTTACATGATATTACACTGGTTGCCATAGGATACTTGTCATTTACAGTATCCTTTTTTCACATTTTTTGTACATATCTGATATATATATGAAATTGATTCACTATCTTTGATTAAATATCATCTTTTTGCTTTATTTTGAGTGCAGTATCAATTATTGTTTTTTATATTATTTGGAGGTTAATGGGCCACCTTGATTACTTGCACCGAAACGGATATGAGAGTGCCTGTACATTTATATTTTTTTGTATACTATTCTATTGTATTGTTGCCAGTGGTGTATCCTGGTTTTGTGCTGCCACAAGGCTAACAAGACATTTGCCGACCGACCGCCCGTCTGGCTTGTCAGTTAGCCACAAGGCTAACAAGACATTTGCCCTGGGCATTTGGGGGCGGCTTTTTTTGCCGCCCCTGGAAAATGCCGCCCAAGGCAAATGCCTTGTTTGCCTCACGGCTAAAATGTCCCTGATTGTTGCAAAGGGAGAAATACTCCACACATAAAGTAATACTGGTTTCTAAAGTGCTTTAAAGGAAAACTTAGCTAAATAAAGCAGTTTTAGTGTATAGATCAAGGGTAGGCAACCTACGGCACTAGTGCCATGCACGGCACTCGAGGTGCCTTTGCACGGCACTCAAGGCTGCTAGAGCCAAACAGGCTCTGTCCTATCAGGAGTCCCAGTAAAACTTCAGATATCTGCTAATACAAAGAGGTGGTGAAGGACAATCCTCAATTCAAGCATTGCAGCACATAAAGTGATCTCAGATCACTTCCTCCCAGCACTTATGGGAATCCACACAGTAGTAGTGCAGCTCGCAGTTGTTGTTGCAGCTCCGGTCCTTGACCTGTACCTGGCCAACATGGTCCCCACTGGAACCCAGAGAAGCCACCCACACTGCTAGATATACACAGAAATGCAGAAAGACCCTCCCCTCATACAAATAATACGGACAGCCCACACACAAACATACACACAATCCGCACAAACGCAACACCACTAACAATCCACATACATGCATACAACCCCACATGCAGCCTCTCACATGCAATACCCCAAACATCCCCACAAAAATATACACACTACTAAACACACAATGTGGCATTTCCATCCACACACACAATTCCACAAGCTGCCCACATTCATATGTATCATACACGATACCACAATCTACTAATGAACATATACAATATAATAGCTCATATACGCACAAATACAACAATACAAAGCAATTACAGTATAAATAACACAAGCAGAATACGGCAGCATACACACCTCAATTTAAAAAAAGAAAAATAGGACCGGCACGCTACGGGACATCACAATCCTATATCGGCACAGTGCTGCTAAAAGGTTGCCTACCCCTGGTATAGACCATTCCCCTGCAATTTCACTGCTCAAATCACTGTCATTAAGGAGTTAAATCACTTTGTTTCTGTTTATGCAGCCCTAGCCACACCTCCCCTGGCTATGATTGACACAGCCTGCATGAAAAAAAAATGGTTTCACTTTCAAACAGATGTAATTTACCTTAAATAATTGTATCCCAATCTCTAAATTGAACTTTAATTACATACAGGAGGCTCTTGCAGGGTCTAGCAAGTTATTAACATAGCATGGGATAGGAAAATCTTAATTAAACAGAACTTGCAATAAGGAAAGCCTAAATAGGGCTCTCTTTACAGGAAGTGTTTATGGAAGGCTGTGCAAGTCACATGCAGGGAGGTGTGACTAGGGTTCATAAACAAAGGGATTTAACTCCTAAATGGCAGAGGATTGAGCAGTGAGGCTGCAGGGGCATGTTCTATACACCAAAATGGCTTCATTAAGCTAAAGTTGTTCAGGTGACTTTAGTGTCCCTTTAAATGTCTGTAGTTTGTCATTTTCTTGAAAGTGCTGATTTCAATAGAAATCGGCCCTTTTATAATTGGTGACAAAAACCATCTCCCTGTCTGTCACACAGATCCTTGTCAATGAGCTTAACTAGAGCTCAATTGGAAACATAGTAATGCTTCTAAGCAGAGGTTTTATCTCTGGAAGATCTACTTAAGAATTCCTGTAATAATTATTGTTTCCTTTGAACTCTTAATTTAAAATTGTGTTTTATTCCATCTCCCTCCCTATACTATCACTACTTAATTGATAACTATTATATCTCCTATCCTGAGCTTCCGTTTTTGTTTTTCTTAAAGTTAGTATGGTCATGTCATTTTATGTTCATTCTCGAAGACGTTTTGTTAATTGTTTGTTTAGTAGTGTTACTACTTTCACTGATAATCTTGTAAATTTATGTTCATGGTTTATGACTTTCACCTATCTGATCCTTCATATCTTTTTATCCCAAATGTTCTCTCCTCTAGTTTTTCATCTCTAATTAATTACCCCAATGGCCCCATGTCTCCCCACCCATAATAGTGTGTTTATTTCTTTTTTTTCTTTCTAACCTCAGACCGTCACTAAACCTCTCCTCACCTGAAATCCTCTGTTAACATACTGCATCTTTAACAATGGGTTAAACACTCATTGATATATGTGTGTATACATATATATCTATGATTTATATATGTGCATATATAATCAGCTTATCTAAATAAGAAAACACATTTTCTCTAATGTTCTCCCTTCTATTTTACACTTTCACACTAACTTCTTTCATTACTAAAATATCCCTATCTTTCTGCTCACCTGTCCCTGGCAACACCACCTTCATTACTTCCACTTTACTTCCCTCCCCTCTCTATTCATCCCATGCACTCTACACATACCTTTCCAGCTTATCTCCACCAACTCCTCCCGAATCCTCTATATACATACCCTCCTACAAAACTTTCAAATCCTACTCTCACCTCCACTTCCTTTCTATCCTTCTGCTCCTAGCAGCTGGTGATGTCTCTCCAAACCCCAGTCCCATCTCGGCAAACTCACCACATACTAACCCAAGGATCCACACTAATCTCAAAGCCATCTCATGTTCCTCTAAATCCTCCGCTCTGTTTGCAATATTACAAAATCCACTGCTGTCCATGACTTCATCTCTCATTCAATATATTTACTTGCCTTAACAGAAACATGGCTCTCCCCCTCTGACACTGCTACCCCTGCATCTTTGTCCTTTGGTGGTCTTCAACTTACCCACAACCCAAGAAACTCTGAATGTAAAGGTGGTAGTTTCTCCTCTCCCCTCACTGCTCCTTTAAACCTCTACCCACCCCCCTTCCCTCTCTTTCCCATCATTTGAAATACATTCAATTCACCTTCTCAAACCCTTCTCTGCTAACATTGCCGTTATTTATCGTCCCCCTGGTTCCCCTCTCCTCTTCCTTGACCACTTTCCTGCCTGGCTACCCTATTTCCTCTCTTCTAATATTCCATCCCTAATTCTTGGGGACTTCAATATTGCCATTAATTCACCTTTGACCTCTGCAGCCTCTAAACTACTCTTAATTACTTCCTCTCTCGGGCCATCACAGTGGGCTAATTCTCCCACCTGTTACAAGAACCCTACAAACTGTTACAGATGTACTCCCTTTTTGTTCCCCAATACCCTGTTCGCTATTCAGACTGTGTGAACCCATTCCACTACCAGTTATAACTATTTATTTGTGTTTACGAATGAAGGACCACCCAGTCCTTGGCGTGTGCTGCTACTTAACCCCGGTCACGTTTGAAAGTACCAACAATCGACCACCCCACGAGCTGAGCGTGCCACTAATTGACCGCCAGGAAGCTGCGGTCTGCGGTTAACCACAAGCCTAATTGACTGTCTCCGGGTGGCCTCGTTCGTGTAATAATTCACCGAACTGAACTCACGAAAGACTCCCGAACGAGGCCCACCCGCATCCTGGCGTGTGTTCCCAAACAGAACGTTGAAGCTGCGGTTAACCGCAAGTTAAGTACCCCCTGTCATGACGGTCTCCATTCAGTTCACGAAGGGCTAAGACAACCATCCTGTGAGCGGTATTAGCGTAATTGTTCAGCTGCTACTCGTTCCAGGGGTTTTAGGTCCAAGTCCCGCTCTCCATCTATCAACATGAAAACACGGATGGACTTTATATCGAGGAGACTAGTCATATCGTTCATGTGTTCTGAGCGCTATTCGTCCATCTGCTGGGCTCATAATGAATGGTGGAATGGCAGATATGTCTGTTAAAGTATTTGTAGCGGAGGCCTGGTATTCCCCAGGTTAACTCCACTAGAGATCCCAGTGAGGCTCAGGAACAAGTAGTAAAAATACCATGAAGTAATAATTCCAGCAAGCAAGGTAATCCACAAATATCCCCATACAGATCCCAATGACTGGACGACACACAGCATCAGGAGCAGAACTGACTTCTAATGCACACAACTTCCTTATAAAGCATTCTCCCATGCAAGGGAGGGATTTGCAATAATTAGTACAGTAGCCAATCCTCCACGAGTTGCCACCCACACATCCCCTCCCCTTAGTGTGACACATAATCCCCTTAAGCAGTACACAAATTCCCAGAGTTTCCGGATGTACCCCTAAACATAGGGGTGCCCCTTTAAATGTTACATCCCCTGGTAGCCCTGATCTTGGTGAGACACGTATCCAAAAATCATCCAGATCGGACCAGGGGTTCGGGAAATTTATGGAAGTACTAAAATGACCAACCGCACTGGGTTTACCAGCCGAAAAGGGCTCCATGTGTTTTCGGTCACAGAAAAGGGAATGTAACAAACAAATGACTTATGTTAGGAGAGCTGGGGAGGTTTCATGTAATTTCCCTTGTTCGTGGGATTCAAACTACCAAACGAGAAGCCGTTCGGTAGTTTGTATACGAATTGGCGGCAGTGTGGAGGTCGGGAGTTTAAAATGGCCGCCGCCACGTGTTCGTCTCCCGAATGGCGGCCACCCAGAGAACAAAGGACCCACTGCATGAACCGCCAATTATCCGTTTGCAACATTGTTGTGAACAGTAATTGGAGACACACTTATTACTGGGGTGGTCTGATTGTTCGGTAGTTTCATTCGCATAAGAACTGGAGTGATTTTACCGAACAATCAGCAGAATGCTACATACACTTATTACAAGTTACAATTCAACCGATTACATAGACATAAATGCACTTTTTAGGACAGCCCAATGCCATCCGCTACAGTATTAAAGTTATGTAATTTTATACGGTTTTATATGTTGTAATAAAACGTGGGAGTTTGGGCTTTTGGAGATAATTACATTGTCCCAACCGTTGGACTCATTATCTCCAAGCTGGGCGGTAAAAATTTCAAAGGATACATTGTGTTACTATTGGTCAACTGCTCATATTGTCACGGTATCCCATCAGATCCAGAGGGGGCTGTCCCTGGACCTGCGGTTTTGCATAAATAGTGATGCATGTGTGCCATTAAACTCAGATCGTTTTACCCTCAACTCGCAGCCTCGACTAGTGTTGTATAGAGCCGTGAATCCTAGCTCTGCTATAGCTAGTGGGATGTTCCACACTTACAGGTTGTTGTCGATTGAAGCAGCGTTCGACTCTCCAAGTTTGGGAACCAGGACATCCAAGCGGTCCAACCTCCCGCAAGACCGGATGCAACCATAACACCACCCATGTAGCTGGCAATACCCTTGACCTAATCCTCTCTTGGATGTACAGTATCTAATTTTTGCAACACTCCATTTCCTCTCTCTGATCACCACCTCCTATCATTTGCTCTTGTGTACCTCCCCACCCAACAACCTCAGCCTAATCCCCCTCAACTCAGGAGGAACCTTAATTCTCTTGATCTCCAGCAGCTGTCAGATGGTATTGATTCACAACTGCTATCCATCCCTTCCCTCTCCTGTCCTTCACTGGCCGTCTCCACATATAACACTACCCTCACCTCTGCCTTGAACACTGCAGCACCGCTCCAAGCAAGCACCTTGAGGAGGACATGCCCCCATCCGTGGCATACTAAATCAACACGCTACCTGCAAAGATGCTCCCAATGTGCTGAACGCTCCTGGAGGAAGTTTCGCACCCAGTCAGCCTTTCTCCATTATAGATTCATTTTGTGTTCATACAGCGCAGCCCTTGCCCTCGCCAAACAGTCCTACTTTTTCTCTCTCATTAGTTCATGCACCCGCAATCCCAGGCATCTCTTTGACACCTTTAATTCTCTTCTTCGCCCTGCCGTGGCCACCCCCCAAACTAGTCTTACTGCCAATAGCTTTGCATGCTACTTTACCAACAAAATTTAACAGCTAAGGAAAGTATTCTCCCCACCTTGCCGTTCTCTTTCTCAACCACACATTGATCATGCCTTTCCTACCCTTTAGACGTTCTCCCCGGCTACTGACCTAGAGTCGGCTGCTCTTCTCCTTTCCTCTTTCCCCACCCCTTGCCCACTCGATCCTGTCCCATCTCACCTGATTAGATCTCTCTCCACTTGTCTCGTGCCTTCCTTAACGCATATCTTCAACTGCTCTCTCTCTTCTGGCATTGTCCCTGCTGACCTTAAACATGCCACTGTAGTACCTATCCTGAAAAAAACATCTCTTGACCCGTGCTCCCCCTCTAACTATCGTCCTATATCCCTGCTCCCTTTTTTCTCAAAGCTTCTGGAAAAACTTGTCTTTAGCCGTGTGTCTCATTTCCTCAATTCCAACTCTCTTCTTGACACTCTTCAATCTGGCTTCCGCCCTCTCCACTCTACTGAGACTGCGCTTATCAAAGTTACTAACGACCTAATCACAGCTAAATCCAAAGGCCACTACTCCATACTAATTCTTCTTGACCTCTCTGCTGCCTTTGACACATTTGATCATGCTCTCCTTCTTCAAACTCTTCAATCATTCGGTCTCTGTGACTCTGTCCTCTCGTGGTTTTCCTCTTATCTCTCCCAACGCTCATTCAGTGTCTCCTTTTCTAATGATACCTCCTCCCTTCATCCTGTCTCGGTTGGAGTCCCCCAAGGCTCTGTGCTTGGTCCCCTTCTATTTTCTCTTTATACTGCCTCTCTTGGCAAACTTATTACCTCTTTTGGTTTCCACTACCACCTGTACGCTGATGACACCCAGATATATCTCTCCTCCCTGGACCTCTCCGCTGCTGTCCTGCAACGTGTCACTGCTTGCCTTTCTTCCATCTCTGACTGGATGTCCTCTCGCTTTCTAAAACTCAGTCTCTCTAAAACTGAGCTCCTTGTCTTTCCTCCTTCTAATACTGATCCTCCTCTTTCGCTCTCCCTTCAAGTTTGTGGTACCCACATAAGTCCATCTTTGCAAGCGCGCTGTCTAGGCGTCATACTTGATTCTGGCTTCACCTTTGAGCCTCACATCCAGTATGTTGCCAAATCCTGTAGATTCCATTTTAAAAACATAGCCCACATCCACCCCTTTCTTATGCAAGATGCTACCAAGGAGCTTGTCCGTGCTTTAGGAATTTCCCGCATGGATTATTGTAATCCTCTCCTGATTGGTCTTCCCAATAGCCGTACTGCACCGCTACAGTCAATAATGAACGCTGCCGCCAGACTGATTTTCCTCTCTAGTCAGTTCTCTCACACCTCACCCCTCTGTCAGTCCTTACATTGGCTTCCTGTATGCTATAGGAGTCATTTCAAGGTACTAATTCACACCTATGGAGCACTGAACAACTCTAGCCCCTCTTATCCATAGGTATGTCCCTTCTCGGTCTCTCTGCTCTGCCCGTGACCACCTCCTGTCCGTTGTTCGCACCCGTACGGCCAACACACGCTTGCAGGACTTCTCGCGGGCGGCTCCTTTCCTATGGAATAGCCTGCCTATCGCCATCAGACCCTCCCTTAGTCTTGCATCTTTTAAGAAGTGCCTTAAAACCCATCTCTTTAGGAAAGCTTATGGCCTCCCAGAGTAACCTCTACCTCACATACCTGTCTCTTGCACTTTCCTAAAGGGCAGCACTCTACTCTCTCCTTCAGCTCTGCTTCACTCCAACCTTTTTTGATTTATATTTCTTGTCCTAATGTGTTTTATACCCCACCTCCTATAGACTGTAAGCTCGTTTGAGCAGGGTCCTCTTCAACCTATTGTTCCTGTAAGTTTTTGTAATTGTCCTATTTATAGTTAAATCCCCCTTCTCATATTATTGTAAAGCGCTACAGAATCTGTTGGCGCTATATAAATGGCAATAATAATAATAAAAAAAAAAATAATGCTGTGATCGAGTGAGCATGCACACACTTGTAGATCCAGCTCAGAAACTTCCCAATGAGAAGCCTCTGATTAGAGTATTCCATGGCACATAAAATAAAAGCACATTTTATTTCAGAGTATATCGACTAAATTGTTAAAAGAAATTAGTGGAACACGTGTGAGAAATGCTGAACTTGATGGATGCATGTCTCTTTTCAACTAAATACTTGTGACACAATGGAACTACCTTATGATGGGGCGGCAAAATGTATCTTCATTGTCCAGGGCGGCCCAGGGCGGCCCAGGGCAGCAGAATTCCTTGCACCGGCCCTGCTCTTATATGTTAAGAAATCTAGAAAACCCCAATCTGGGTACCAGTCCCTATGGAGTGAGATTAACATGTTCTCTCTCCATTTCTTTACTACCTATAAAATCATTAAACTACTAATGAAACATATAGTGTCTCTGTCTATACTGGGTTCTGTTTGATTCTAGATCCCCTAAAGTGCAGCACTCACTATTCCTTCCAAGTCCTCTTCTAACTTGCCAATTTCTGATTCCTCCACCAGCATCTCCACTTGCTCGTCCATCTCCTGCAGGGCTGCCTCATCACGGGATGGCTGTGATATGGGATACAGGAAAAATAGAATAAGGAGATGTAGCGGAGTAGTAGTATTATCCACGGTATCTCCGCTGGTAGACAGAGTGAAGCAGGTAAAAAGCAGACAAAATGCAGGTAGCGTAGTTACAATCCCTTTCTCCCAAGAACTAAACGACACATAGCTTGGAGGTCAACTGAGAGCTTTAATGAAACAATCCCCAATTTATGTGATTTTACTGTACAGGGTTTCCAGCAGTGGTTTTAATCAGGTGGACTGTGTGGGAAACTGACCATGCAAGGTTGTTTCCCAGCAGCCCCTGCTGTACAGGCACCAAGATGACATCAGCAAGTACAGATAATTACATTACCAGAGGTTACAGAAATATGCAAGCTTTTACATTAAAATCTATAATTCTCAAAATTTCCCACTGATTTGGGTGAATGACCTATTAACCGAATGCAGGGATCAGCAGGTACAATAAACCGAAGTACCATTCTGATCCCTGCAGAATTAACCGAACGCCACTCGTAATACACATTTGCACGAACTAGGGTTTAGAAGAGAAAATTTACGAATACCTTTATTCACCCCACAAGAGCGAGTCTCCCGAACGCTATGGAAGTCCAGTGGTGTTTGGGAACCAAGTAGCTGATTTCAGTTCCAGGCACTCGACGACCAAACACAGCTGAACGCTAACAAAGCAAAGATGGCACACACAGAAAGACCATTAACGGCTGGACTAATGAGCAGCACACGACTTACTGGGGTGGTCTCCCGTTCGGTCCTTAGTTCGTTTCACGAACAGGTTAGGAGTCCACTGTTCGTGAAACTGGCAATGTAAGGTTAGCGGCATTCGTGTGCTGCAAGCACATGAATGCCGAAGAGAAACCAGATGTACATTTTTATATGCAGATCTCTTAACAGTGGGGAATTTTACTCACATATATATATAGCACTGGTAATGATGGACAGATATATATGAAGACATTCTGTAAGTGGCTAAGTTTGCCACATGAGAAATCGCTCTAATGTTAGGACATCTAGAGAACCCCAATTTGATTACCAGGCTTGATGGAGCGAGATTAGAATGTTCACTCCCTATTTCTTTACTTCTTAAAAACCCTACACATATATATTAAACTATTAAACATATAAGGAAATTATATATAAACATCTGTATTTGTTCCTTCACCCCTAAACCAAATTAAATTGCCATATTCTTTATAACTAAGACATGGCTTGTGTAAATAGAATAAAAGAATTTACCTTAACAGGCTCCATAGCTGAAAAATTGATTCAAACAAATTGTAATGAAAACTGTCAAACAATTATTTGCTTTGAATACCACGTGTAACCACTGCCACCGCTCAGTATACACTGGTGAAAGAGTTCAGTTGAGTTGGGTGTATCTTGACTTGGTTTCAGTGACATCATAGAGAGATCATGACATCATTACAGAGGGGGGTGCTAGCAGGCACACCTATAATACCATATAAGGTAATATGTCCAGCTAATTCCATTCACCGCAAGAGGTGAATGGAATTAGCAAAATCCTCCCCCCCAATTCCCTTTATTTCTGGGTATAATAACCGTGTTATTCACTATAGCCTGAATGGGGTAATAACAATCACTGCTATACGGGACCATTTAGACTGCCAAATCAGGACATTGTTCATGGAATTCCATCAATATCCGGATTTTGTAAATCAGGCACTGAACAGACCTGATTTTATGAAACAAAATATCCACTGATGGCTGAATTCCGGTCCGAATATTTTAAATCTGCGCCTGGATTTAAAAAAAATCTGAACGGTTTGCCCACTGGTAGCATTAGCGTACTAGGCAGTCGCTACATGGAAATTGTAAAATAAATAAAAATGTTAAATAATTAAAAATCCAAAAGAGGTCAATAAGACACCCATATTTCTATAATAGATGTTGTAAACTTCCATATGCCCCAACCTGTCACCTGGCAGTGATGGACTGGGTCTAGAAATATTGGTTGCCCAGAGGCGGGGTGGGAGGGGGGATAGAGGGGGAAAAATTGTGGCACCCACAATTATAAGGCTATCATTGAAATTTTATAAGAAATAAGATTTTAAGAAAACACAAAAAAGTTACTATTACATTTTTTTTTACATATATTGTACATGTTATTGGCAGTATACAGTAGATACTAGATGTAAATATAGATTGTTATGTAATAAAAAACAATCAAAAATGAAAGTTAAATAAATGGTGGATATTTTTTTATATTTAATTTATTTAAATATATTACAAAAATATAATAGTACAACAACTGCCATTTCAAGCTTTTAACATAAATACAGAAGCTTTCAAATATTATATCTAACATTTTTACATAACATATGGTCAAATCCTCCGGTTACTTTACCAAAAATATTGCAATTTTAATAAAATGGACCTTGTGATATAAAAATGTTTTCATACTGCCCCCACATTCAGGTTTGCAGCCCCCCGGCCATATAATTTCAAGGGCACTGTATGATGATTTGTATAACAATAATACATTTATATGAAAGGGATGCTATATGTATTTCAGTCTGGAGCAGGTTAAGGTCCGCAGCATGCTGTTGCCTCATTTCCTGCAGCAGGTCAGCGATGTCCTGTTTGGTTGCCGGGCTTTGCTTGTCTCGGCCCGCTGGTGTTACCATGGTCGGCTCTGCTGTTGAGGGTTCCGGCATACCTGCGGGGAGCACTTCTGCATCCAGTTCGCGGTCTGGTGGGGTGGCCATCTTGGGCGCCATCGGTTGCTGTAGCAACGCCCCAATGTTTTGAGGTTCCCTGCTGGTGCTCGGGGGAGGTCTCTTGGATCTTCTTCCCACGTTGTGAGTGTCTGGTGTGGTGGGACCGTACAGCAGGTGGGTATTGTTTGGTATTCCTGCCGCCTGTGCGAGTAGTTCCTGTGCAGCCTTCGCGGTGTGCAACTCGAGGTAGGCCCCAGTTCTCCTTCAGGTCTTCTTACCCGTTTGTAGGAACAGAAAAGGCATCAGTGTGTAGCTCTACCCCAATGCGTGCCCGAGTGGGTAGGTGTACTCTTTGGTGGCACTTTGGAACCGCAGATTGGTATGGATTAGTCGTCGATTGTTAGGAGCTCTGCAGATTTGCGGACATTCCTCCTGTATATTTTTTATATGTTTTTGGGGTATGTTGTATAAAATTGTATGGTTTCCTGTAACTGAGAGATAATTGAGTTAGCCTTCCATTTACTAAATTATCTCCCAGACACAGAGACCTGGGAGGGGTTTATACTGTTTTCTATGGAGACCCCATGCTGGGGGTCTGTGTATTAAAAGCTGAGTGTGGCATAATAAACCTCAGTTGACTCCCAGAGCTGTGTGTCGTCCAGTTACTGGGTGAATGGGCTATAATCACTAAACAGCGCTTTCTTCCAGCTCCAGAGGACTTCAGCTGAGATATTCGATCTCAGGATTGCAGCTCTGCTACATTTCTCACATCTGCTTACAGCAAGCCTCAAATCGAGAGACTTGACAGTCAGGAGGGTGCAATCTAGGAGCTTTGTAAAACTGCTGATTTGTTTGGGAATAAGCACTTGTATAAAATAAGACAAAGAGGACACACACTGCTTTACGTGTATGTACAATCACTAACCCCGTTAAGAGCAGGAAGGGATTTAGAATGAGTTGCTACCTTGCTGTCATTCTGCCGCACTTGGCTTTTCATGATGTTCAACACTAATGAGCAGACAGAAGATTCTTTAGCTACGTTTTGTGTTATTTTTGGATATTTTCTATTGAAAATCTACCACAGCTGAAGAATCTCGATATGCTCATTAGTATAAACACAAAAGAGAAGGGAGCATTGTATTATTACCACTGTGTTAGGTTTGGCCTATATTATATATATGTTATATTTATTTAATGCCCCAATTATTGATGTATGATATTGATGCACTTCTGATATAGTTTATACTATATATATGATTGAAATGGTATTGATTATTTCTTTGTGTATCTGCCCCTGGCCAAATCAATGAAACAATGCGTGCACGCTCCCTGAAGTAATTCACACCAGACACAGGTTCCAGGCTGTTGAATAACTTGAGGAAAGTTTATTCAGAGGGGACGGCAGGTCCCTTTTAAAGCAAAATTACATCATAAGCATTGTCAGAGATAACATGGAATAATACATCAATTATTGGTTAGGTGTTAAGTGGTCTTCCTAATGCTCTGCCTACTGAGGGTGATGTCACCGGGACCATGAGGGTCTCCCACGGTTTCCCGGTGCCATCTTGCTGCACGAGGTAGTTAGTCGGTGTTAAAGGGGGAGGGGAGGAGGGGTTAGAAGCTTCTAGCAGCCATCTTGATTAGAGCACGTGTGCATAGCTTTATATATAATATATCGTGGAATGAGTAAATAGACATTTTCACTAACTAGGAAATATGTGCAGACCTTATTTCCACAACAGTCCCCTATAAAATGGCTATTTACCATGACAACTGCCACTGTCCCTAGTGTATCCCTAGCTGCCTGCAGCTCATCTGTCTTAACAAGCATCGAACTCTTCACTCCGTGGGTAACCCGCAGTAGCTAGTCCACCACATCTCCGCACGTGAGACTTGCCCGTAAAGACAGACGCTTTCCCTACTCTGTCCCTACAGAAATGCAGTTGTCTGTTTAAACTGATGTGACTGAAGGGGTGTATGTGGAGTGTCATCTTCGAGGTCTGTGATGTCTTGGTGTAGGAAAGTGGGAGTCACGTCATCTATAGTCTTCCCTACTGCTTTCTGTAAGTACTTCTGTATGCAAGGGAGTACACAACAGGTTAGGAATAAGAAGATGATAATCATTATAAGAACAGCCGTTCCTACCTGGAATAGGGTCCTTTGCCAACCATTCATCCACCCAAACCATCTGTCCCAAGTGTCAGTGACTCCTGAGTTCTTTTTTAACTCATCAGAAAGACTATCTAGTTTCTCTATGGCCATAGTCACCTTACCATTGGGCCCAGTGTTATCTGGAATGAATGTGCAGCATGTCATAGTTTCGGGGAGGATCTTACATACACCCCCTTTCTCAGCTAAAATCATATCTAGGGCCATTCTGTTCTGAAATGTCATTTGGGTGGTGGCTTGTAACTGTTCTGCCAGGCCCTGTAGGGCATCCCTTGTGTAGTTGACAAAGCGCTGTTGATTATAGAAAATGTAGTTAATCCAATTGACATTCTTATTAGCAGTTATCATTGGAATTAAGGATTCAAATCCTGCTGCCACTTCATCCCTTGCTTTGAATTCGCTAGGCACCCCCCTTGGCACACCAATGGCATCAATATATACATGGGGGTCGAAGCTCCCTCGGATGGGGGCCTCACGTCTAGTTCTAGAATGTACGTGTGTGTGGTCTAGTGTGTTGTGGCTACCGTCTGGAATAATGTGGATGGGCATTATAACTTTGGTCAGGGCACACTCCCCCCACCATTGCCCAGCTAGTTGGGACCTCAATTGTCTATCACCACATAACCAATAGATATCTCCGATTGTCTTTGCATGATTCATTAGCAGTGATACAGGCGGGCTGTGGTAGTTTGAGCAGTATCCAGATGGGAATTTGCCCAGATACACACCAGTATTCTTAGGTATTGAATAACATGTGTAATTACCTGGATATACTGTGACTCCATCGGGTGGCTTGATATATCCATGAGTGATTGGGTAAACCCTATTCCATGATTCACATGTTGAAGAATTTGTGGTGGACTGTGCATAGAGGCTCAAAACACATAGTTCTACTTCAGGAGGTAAACTTAGAGGTACCGTACCCAGATGGGGCCTGGCTCCTCCACATACATAGCAATTAGTCTTATTGTGCGAGTTAGCGTTGTACCTCATCCACTCTAGCCATAAGTTAGTGTCTGAAAACCCAGTCTCTACTGCCATAGTGTCTTCAAAGGTGGGGTTGGCTATAGCTACCATGTCATGTAAAGTCTTAATATGTGGTTTCAACTGATTAATAGTTATGTGAGTGGTTCCTACCCAGTCTGGTGAGGTGAGCATGTCCTGTAGATAGAATGTCCCCAGTTTATTATGTGAGCCACCTCCCTTCCAATACATTCCCATTACATATTCCCCTGTGTAAGTTTAATGGGAGTTGACCCAATAGGTTTGCTTAAGGTCATTCTGGAGAGTAGAGGCTTCCCATCTTTGTCAATTCTGTCTAATGCACTCTGGGGTCTGTAGCCCCATGGTCTACCCGTGTTCCACCCGGCGGCTTTCCATGAACTACAATGATGTCCCCAAACTCCTCCAGTAACACAAATGTATGGATCCCTTTTGCTAGGTATGTCTTTGTATATGGCTGCATATTGTGCTTGTGGAAAGGTGCAAACAACTATGTCACAGTAGTCAAAGGTATATGTAGCTACATCTGTGTTAGAAGAATTGTACCAGAAAGTGTAAACATGATTATCTTTGGTTATGGCCACTTGTTGGGCCCAGGCAAGGTGTAGCAGCATAAGAAAACACAAGACACATAACAAATTCATATTTCAGCAGGGGTAGCCTCTTCTGGAGTAGGCACTTTCTTGCAATGCGAGGCGTGTATCCAAGAACTCTTTCCGGCTAGCTTAACTGACGTTGCTGTGATCAGGAGCACTTGATAAGGGCCATCAAATCTTGGCTCTAGGGTGTGTTTCCTGAGAAACTTCTTGACCATAACCCAATCACCGGGGAGCAGCTTGTGTGTACCTGTATTCGACTCAGGATCTGGAATAGAAGAAAACACTTGGGCATGTATTTTGGTCAAGGCATGTGAGAGGGCAGTCACATAGTCTACCATAGCGTCTGACTGGATCTGAAGTTGTTGAGGGAAATAACAACCTAGCCTGGGTGCTGTACCAGACAAAATCTCATAAGGTGATAGGCTATATTTTCCCCTAGGAGTGTACCTTACGCTAAACAACGCTAAAGGGAGACTCTCGGGCCAGGGCATGTTAGTTTCCTGTGACATTTTAAGCATTCTGGCTTTCAAAGTGCCATTCATGCGCTCTACCTTACCACTACTCTGTGGATGATATGGTGTGTGGAATGCAAGGGTCACCCCCAGTGCTGACCAGACTTCCCGTGTCAATGAGGCAGTAAAGGAGGTCCCTTGGTCACTTTCAATCACTTCTGGAACTCCATATCGGCAAACAATTTCCGTCAAAAGGTACCCTGTTGTACAGTAATTAATAGTCTTTTTTCTGATCCCCATAGAGGTCAGTTGTTCTTGGTTTATTTGACTCCAGGTCTTGGCCATCGGGCCTAGGTCTTTCCATGAGATGTCAGGGGATTTAGTGAGGGATATGTGTGGGACAGCTGTTTCCCAATGACGGTAGAGATGTGTCACATTCTCTGGGAGATGGACTAAGATGAGCATGGTACCTGTGGAATCCCATAACAAGTCAGTCAGAGTAATTTGAATTTCCTTGAGTTGGAACAGTTCTTCCTCATAGTTCATATCAGGGCCTGGACTGTCCTTAAACCACAAGGTGCAGTGGAGTAAAGTCTCTGATTGTTCATCATGTGGGGGTGCAAGGGCAGGCAACTGCAAATCTGCTCGAACCTCTGGGTTGATGTCCAGGCTATACCAATACTGCACAATTCCCCCCTTGGGAAGTGGCAGAAGAGTGGCCGGGTTCAGGGAGAGACACCGCTGAAGTTTCACATTGTCAGGTAACAGTAGAGAGGTTTGTAGGCGAAGGTGACGTTGTGAGGAAAGGTGCTTAGGCTGGACTTGTTGGAGAATTGAG